GGAATCCCTGGCTCTCGGGAGATGGTGGCATGGGGAAGAGGAGAGATGACCAGCCACAAACCACTGGGAAATGCAGAGAGCTGGAGGGGATGGGTAAACTGGGCACCAGCCTTCCCCAGATTGGTGCCGCCAGCCCATTTCCAGGGCTTCGGCTGAGCAACGGGGCTTCCCTTGGGAAGGAAAGGCTCCACGTCCCAGCTCCATCCCCCCGAGCCACCTGGCCCAGGACGTGCCAGTCTCCACAGGTGGGGATTTACGCACATCGAGGAGCACACCGAGATTCCAACACCCTTGACGGGGATTCGTCAGCAGCCTAACGAGCTCTCTTCTGGGGGTCAGACACCGCAACGGCGACGCTACTGCACATCGACACTCACGGCTCTCCCACTGAGAAGATGCCAGGTGTGGAGTCTAGTAGGTCAGGGCTGGGAACCAGGACTCCTGGGTTCTATTCCCAGCCTTGGGAGCGGAGTGGGGTTTAGTGGGTTACAGCGGGGCAGGGGCTGGGAGCCAGGACTCCTGGGTTCTATTCCCGGCTCTGCCACAGATTTTCTGCATGACCCAGGACGAGTCACTCCCACTCTCTGCCCCCAGCTGTTAACCCGGCTAGCGATACCCTTCTCCCGCACACAGGCACAGCTCCATTCATTGGTGTTCACTTGCTGGGAGGTCCCCAAGGGCCCTGACCCTCCGGGCGCAGTACCTCCCCGTTGGCTCGTGCTGCTCCAGGGCACAGCGGGTTGGACAAGTCACAGCGAGGGACATCCTCTTGCGGGGGTTTCTCCACCTGCCCCTGCCAGGGACGCCTCATCCGGTGGGCGGACACCAGCACCCAGTCATCCCGCAGGGGGTTGTAGCGGACGTGCTGGTGCTCTGGGGAGAGGAAGGGAACAGAGACGTGACTGCGGCGGAACCTGCTGGGCTGGGAAATGCTCTTCTAAGGGGCCAACGCCTCCACTCAGAAACACCTGCAGCTAAAGTCTGTGCTGATCATCCCCACGGCCCAGACACCGCTCCAACCTGCACAGGCAGACGGGGAGGGTGTCTAGGTAACACCTGCCAGAGAAGCAAAGCAGCCTGCTACCTCCAGCTGCTGAGAAGAGGGAATGCACTGGGATTCCTGACCCCGGGCCCTGCTCTGGGACTCCATCTTTCACAGCCCCTGGCTAGTAGACGTCAGATCAGTCCAAAGCCACCACAGCCCCACCCACAACTACCCCACCCTCATTCTCCTGAAAAGCAGGTGGGGGCAGAAGCTGGGTGCTCACAGGTTTGTTTCCAGATCTTGCTCCCAGCACGGCTGCTGCTCAGAGCTCTCTCCAGCAGCCCTGAGCAGGATGTAATTCCTGGCATCACCACGGCCCACAGGGCTCTGAACGGTTTTATTACCAGTAGGGACCTACCAAATTCACCGCCATGAAAAACGCGTGAAATCTGGTCTTTTGTAGGCTGTTACCCTATACTATACAGATTGCACAGGGGAGAGCAGCATTTCTCCAATTGGGGGCCCTGACCCAAATGAGAGTTGCAGGGGGGGGTCACAAGGTTATTTTAGGGGGGTTGCGGTATTGCCACCTTTACTTCTGCACTGACTTCAGAGCTGGGCGGCCGGAGAGCGACGGCTGTTGGTTGGGCGCACAGCTCTGAAGCAGCAGAAGTAAAGGGGACAATACCAAACCATGAGTCATTACAAAACCTAATTTCCCCATGCTAATTTCCCCCTACTGTTACTCACACCTTCTCGTCAATGGTCGAAATGGGCCACCCTCATTACCACTACAAAAGTGATTTTTCCTCCCTTGGTGTTCTACTGTTCATTGAATTGTCTCGTTAGACTGACCCCCCCACCTGGTAAGGCAACTCCCATCTTTTCATGTGCTGTGTATATATACACACCTGCTGCTGTATTGTCCACGCCATGCATCTGATGAAGTGGGTTCTAGCCCACGAAAGCTTATG